GTAGATGTTACTCCCTACACAAATGTTCCAATTTGTGCAGATCAACATGTTGACTCACTCAAGATAAGAACAAAAGGTAATATAGACCTTCTAATTAACTATCGGGTAAGGGATTGAGGAAGAGTTTGCGGCATGGATTTGAGTAAATGTGAGTCCAAATTTGACTGAGTACTGGGTTGAGTGAAAAAGGGTTCGTTTTAGGGTTCCACTTCCATGACATTTTTATAATTAGTTTGGATGAATCCGATTGCTTGCTAATCCGGATAATTTGATTAGAAATATCGATACAAATGGACGAAAAAATTGTTATGTTAGGTATTTTAAAGCTTAGTATTAAATTTTTTTTGCCACAAAACTCAAAAGTTCATAGATCATTCCTGTAATTTATCCCCTTTTTCTGGTTTTTCCTCATTCTTCCTAAATCTTTTCCACTTAGGTTCATGTTGTAAGTAGGGATGGCAATTTTGCTCATACCCATGGGTATTTTACTATCCAATCCAATTGGGTTGGGTATGAAATCCAAATATATGGATATGGGTAAAGTTTGATGGGTTTGTACCCATACCCATTTACTTTGGGTTGGATTTGGGTTTGTACCCATGCCCAAATACAAATTACAGTTTGGTACCTAAACTTAATAGATATGTATATTTAGTACCTAAATTTAATTTTTTTTGCATATAAGTCCTCAAAATATCAATGGAAAATTACGTTTTGGTACCTAAATTTTTTTGGTCTTACATTTTGGTACCTAAAATTTTCAAGTTTTACAAATAAGTCCAATTTTTGCATGTGTAGTTAAAACACTCTCAAGTAAATGGATATCCATATCCAACCCATACCCATTTAGATAATATCCATATCTAACCCAAACCCATACACACATCACCCAAACCCTACCCATAATAAATGGGTCTACTTGGGTTTGGGCAAAATTACCCATGGGTGGGTAAATTGCCATCCCTAGTTGTAAGGGTTCTCATGTGATCAGCTGGTGGTATTTCATCATCCCAATCCTTCCAAGAGGACCACCCAGAAAGGAAAGAGAAGAGAGGGTTCTCAGAATCTTGATCCTCAATTGTTAAAGGTATAGCTTTGGTGATGTTAATGCCACCAGAAAGTTTGAAGCATCCAACAAAATAAAAGGGAAGAACAGAAATATACGTAAGAGCATTGCAATGAAAAATGGTTGGGGGAAAAGGTGGTGAGGAAAAGGAGGTGAAAATGGTGAATCTTGCTGTTCTTCTCATTTCTGCGAGGTGAGATTGAAACGTCGTTTTCAGTTTTCATCGCCACCGGTATTATTTAAATGACCCATTCATTGCTTTTAATTTTTTCCATCCTCCTCTCATTTTTATATTAAGTCAACGATATGGGTCTTCCTCATCTTCTGGAAATTGGGGTTCTAAATTACCAGGATAGCTCAGTAATTGTGAAAGCTGATGTCAGGTTTTGTTGAGGTAAAGTACTATAGCCTATCTACAAGACTACAACTCTTCTATTCATTGATGGATAAGGCAAATGTGTCTTGACAAAAGTGTTTCGATCTAAAGGCGAGTTCTGTTGCACAGGTGTAGCATAAGATTTTGGTGTTCGAGTTGGAGTTAGATGTATTGTTTATTATTTTTTTAACGAGCTGGAAGCTTGATGAGGCAGATTCAATGGAATTTCGGAAGGAGATGAATATGAACAATCGTTTTGTTAAAAATTATAACATATAATATTATATGATCGTTCAAAATGGAACAGTTGGAACATTTTCTGTATAAATGTTAAATCTTCCTGACAATTTAGACAAATTATCAATTCAGGATGTTCCGTTTTAAAGGAGAGGGTCAAGCTCTAATTGATTGATTGTCATCTTTTTTTTTATAACTAATTTAGAATTATTGGCGAATGACGGAAATTGAACCCGCACATAACTTATTTACATTACTAATTAAACCTGGCATCCTTGATCTCTGTTTATTCACTATCATAACACACAAAATGTATAGTTACATCGATGAGAGTTTTATTGAACCATACCATTGATTATTTTCTTTTGCCACTTTTAAACTGGACATATTAGGTTGTAATCTTAAATTGGACTTCTCTTCTCGATATACCTCATTTCAGTAACATATAAAAAAGGTAATGTAAATTTTTATTTATTTTTTTTTAGATTTTTTATAGGTTAAATACACTTGTATATCCAAAACTTTCATGGTTGTGCCAATAATATCCAAATTTGACGAAATACCACTTATAGCCACTTCCGTCGAATTCTTTAATAGTGTCAGCTAATAAGCTAATTGGACAAACGGAAATGTTGAGTTGGCGAGTTTCTCCAGCAATAATTCCACGCTGGATTAAGTTTAAAAAAAAAAAGTAAAAAAAAAAAAAAAGGAGATGAAAGGTCCCTACCAAACGCACACTCCCTCCTTCCCTCTGTGATTACTCAGCTCCACCAGTCGTCCCCGCCGCTTCTCCGCCTCGTCGAACCCAAAACTCCACCATTCCTTCGCCTAGATGAGGGAGGCTTTGCGATTTCGAGTGCGATGTTGGCCTATCCTTGTTCTTCCACTACAACAAGGACTCGAGAAACCACTAGCAGGGACTCGACAAAGGGTGTTCTTTTCCCTGTTCTGAAATCGAGCACCACTAAGCACTAGCTATCTTCTTCTCCTTCATTGAACAAATGGGGATGGCAGTGGGTTTTGTGTCGATTTGATTCAAGAAGGAGTTGAAGCCACTATGTTGGCCTTGATGTGTGGGTGTTGGTGGGCAATTCCTAGATCTGGAAATCGCTGTCAAAGACGACATTCTTAGCGGTGGAGGAGGAGCCGCGGTCGCGGCGGTTGTGGGTTAATTAGTACTACCGCGACGACGATGATGAAGCCAGTAAACCACTACCCTTTCCTAACGACGATGCAAGAGCTTTGGGGAGACTCTGTTACTCCCAAAGCAACGGAGACCTCCAAAAGCCTAGACATGCATCTTCAATCTCGCCGACGCTATCTCTCCCGGCTCTCAATCTCACCTCAAAACTGGGCTTGTGAGAGGAAGGCTCAGATGTTTCAGGGATTGTGCGCGATTTAAGGTGGGATTGAGTGACGATTGATGCGGAGACTGAGCTTTGTGTGCTGGCGATTCTCCTCCAGTCCCGATTCTCCTCCATTACTCTCTTCTGTCTGAGCTCATCTTCATCGGAAGCTAGCTCTTGACCATCCAAACCAACCATTCATGGCGTCACTGAGCCAACACCGGCGGTGAGAATGGAAGTGCGACAACGGAGCTGGATCTGAGCGTGACGGTAATGGATTGAAGATGCCTAATCCGTTCGTGATCTGAGCGTGCATTTGATGAAGGCTAGGTGATGTGATTGCCCAGCGTGTTACTCGATCGGCGTTTTGGGGAAGAACCCTAATGTCAAAATTGGGGAAATTATTTTAAATTATTTTAAATTTCTTACGTGTCACCTTTGGCATAGTTGGCGCTTACGTGTCTGCTTAGTTGGCGCCCAATCAGCTTGCCGTCAGCTATGTTGACGGAGTTATTAACGCCGTCAAAGTATTTAACGGAAACTGATAGGTTTGGCAAAAAACAACTTTAAAACATGGATATAAGTGGTATCTCGGGAAATTTGGATATTATTGGCACAACCATGAAAGTTTTGGATATACAAGTGTATTAAACCTTTTTTATATTATCCAAACCTATTAAAATGCTATTTATTAGTCAAATCTTTTGTAACGCGTCAAAATATTACCCATTTTTACGTTATCGTTAATAATTTTGTAACTATTTTTCTAGTTAAAATACTAAAATTTTAGAATATTGACATTTATTTGTCTCTTTCAAGTCAGTATAATGTTGTCAAGCAGGGGCGGATCCAAGTGAGCTAATGGGTTGTCAATTGACAAACCTTAAATCAAAATTCTGGACTAAAATCTTGCGTAAAATTTTATTTTGGTGATGCCAATAGTTGGACTTGGGATTATTTGACAACCTTATAGATTTTGGTCTATTATGGAATGCTCTTGATAAAATTTCTGTGTCCCCCGTTGCCAAGTCAATATTACTAACAAAATTGCTAACTAAAAATTAACATTTGGCTAATTCTTAGTATTTCGCTAGGTTTAGCTGATAAAAAGAATCCGAAAATGGTTTGACTAATAAATAATTATTACCCTATAAAAAATTTAGATATGATTTATAGGACATCTAAACTCTATATGCAATGCATTATGCATACTATGCTTTTAAACCCTTTGTAATATTCTAAACCTTTTCCCAATAAGATATTGGCCATTTTGGATTGTGAGTTGTGACCTATTTGAATTTTGTCTTGTGATGCATATCAAGATGACTTTGAATAAGGTCATCCATCTTTGTAATAAGTTCTTACAAGAATTTCTCAATTTCATCCAATCTTTTCCAAATTTTATCGTTGTGAATTCACCTAAAGTGAACAAAAACCCACATGTTAATTGTTAAACAACAATACACAACGAGTGAAAACCACTAACATTTTGAGTCAGTGAAAAAGTAAATAAAGGACACGAAGAAAGTTACCGAAGACAAAGAGGTTGGTTTAAGACAAAGGCAAAATTTTAATGTCAGAGGTCGGCAGACTCTGTAACAGTGAAGTGAAGGGCAAGACAATTAAACAATTGAGAAGGTTCTGAAAAAGGAGCATTTGGTAATTATGCCATTCCTTCCTTCCTAGACTTGAACAGAGCAATTAGTTAGTGGGTCTCCCTCTCTCCATCTCTACTCTTTCTTTCTTCCCCTGTGGCCCTTTCCAAGTTCCCTTCCTTCCCTGTAAACCAGAAAACATAAAATCCAAATTAGTTAGCATTTTATTTTCCTTACTTGTCGACATAATTAATTAAATAAATAAATAGACAAAAGAAAGAAAGAAAGAAAGAAAGAAAAGAATAAAGGAATCCGAACAAACAAACCAAACTACCAAATGAGATAGAAAAGAAAAGGGAACAAAGTACAAATTCGTGAACCAAGTTCATAAAGCTAGAAAACAGAGCACCACCCCCACCCCCTCTCAAAAACCTCTCCTCTGTTTTTTCCCTTGTTCTTCTTCCTCTCCTTTCAACCTCCGAGCTTTATTCCTCTTCAGAAAACTCTCCTACTTCAGACACACAGCCAGACCTCTCACTTTCACTCTCTCTTGCTCTGTTTCAGAAGCAACTAACTGCCGGCCATTTCTGTTTCTATCTATTCGATTCACTTTTGTTCCCTCTGTTTCATTTAGCTATATTCTCCACATGGGTTCTCTGTTCTTGACTAGATTCTGGGATCCTTGAGTAGGAATTGATTGAAATCGTTAGATAGGGAAGATTGATAGATAGATAGATAGATAGACCCGGATCAGGAGGAAGAAAAAATGTCATTCAAATTGAGAACAGAGCAACAGTACTCTGCCTCCAATAAGAGCTCTGCTGTATCTCAGAAATGGACGCTTTTCCTCTGCCTAGCTTGTTTTTGCGGCGGAATGCTCTTCACAAACAGGTAAATTAATAAATACATACAACCTCCAACCAATTTCCCGTTCCTTCTGCTTTTCCCGCGAATTTTACAGCCTCGGTTTACTTCTGAGGGTTTAATTTTTCGTGGTTGGATGCTTCTGAGGTTTCACCCTAGAAGAAAAAATAAAACCCGCTGTTCTTGATCGGAATTGGATCAGTTGGGTATTCAATCTGTGTTTTCTGCAATCTGGGTTTGAGCTCAGAGCTTCTTAATTACTGCTGCCACTTTGATTATTACATCTTATCATTAGGTTTTCTTTTAGGTGAGCTAACCATATCTAAATTAGGTAGCTACCTTCTCCCTTTTGAATCTTACCTTCTTTTTTCCTTCTTTTCTAATTCAAGTTGGAAACTTTCACTAAAAAATTGACTTGGGTGGTTCAAGTTTTGGTATTTGCTAGTCAGTGTCTTTCAGCAATGATGAATCAATAATGTAAATTAATAAAATGGTCAATAGCAAATTTTTGCTAGACTAGTAGTAGAAGTAGTAATAGTAGCATATCCTTGTGCTCCATTTTGATTTTGGATCCACGTTTGGTTCCTTAATCTTCTATTTTCAGTATGAATTGTCCCTCTGGGTTCTCGTTTTGTGAACAATTCATTAAGATGGTATTGTTTTTTCAAGAGCATTCAGAACTGGATTGGATCAATTCAAAGCTATGGTGCCCACAACTATAATTTGGAAGGTTTTGTTAGTTTCAGTTATAACTGACATCAGGCAGTAGTAGTAGTAGTGGTAGTACATATGTCTAGTTTCTTTGTTTTGCTGTCTGCAAAAGAAACATTGATTAAAATCTGTACTACTTGTTACCATTGCCTCTCAAATTTATTATTGCTGTCCTCTTGCAGCTAATTATTGGAATCTAAATGGCTACCTATCTTCTCTTAGCATTGGCTTGTTGACTTCGTTTCTGAATTGGGCTTGTGGGGAAATTGCAGGTTGTGGTCACTCCCTGAACCTAAAGGTCTAACAAGGACAACCACTGCAATTGAAGCAGAAAAACTGAAGTTGATCTCTGAGGGTTGTGGCTCTATAGCTGTGAGTAATCTTCCAATGTTCTTGATTTTGGTTATTGTTGTTTCTGCAATACTCTAACCTGGTTTTTGGTCAAACTTTAGCTGCATCAGAAAGAAGTGCTGCCAGACTCTAAGGACATAGATGGAGAAGTTCACAAAACCCACAATGCCATACAGTAAGTTACCAAGTACCAGTGCTTATGCACATCAAGTAGAATTTGCTCATTATGGTTGATAATGAGACTGAGCTTGGAGTGTTAAATATTGTTGAATGTGTGCAGCACATTGGACAAGACAATTTCAAGCTTAGAGATGGAGCTTGCTGCTGCAAAGGCAACACAAGAGTCTATACTCAGCGGCTCTCCTCAATCAGAGGACTCGAAGAAGAGTTCTTCGTCGAGGAAGAGAAAGTACTTGATGGTGGTGGGGATCAATACTGCTTTTAGCAGCAGGAAGAGAAGGGATTCTGTTCGTGCCACTTGGATGCCTACAGGTTCAGTTTCCTGCTGAATTCTTAAACTTCAACTTCACTTTCTCAGTTTGGTGAACTTGGTTGCTTAAAAGGACTATGGTGTGGGTGAATAATCTAGGTGAGAAGAGAAAGAAACTGGAGGAAGAGAAGGGTATCATCATCCGATTTGTCATTGGTCACAGGTCAGCTAATCCAAATTCATAAAAGAGCCCAAAGATTGAATCTTTTCAGTCTGAAATGCCACATTTGACTTAAGGTTTCTTCTTCTTTTTGTGTGGTTGTAGTGCTACATCAGGAGGCATTTTGGATAGAGCCATTGAAGCAGAAGACCAAAAGCATGGAGATTTCTTGAGGCTGGTAATTTCAGAAGCTAGAATCCTTTTTCTTACCAGTTCATCTCCAAAGGCTTCATGTAACCACAAATATATCTTTTTCCCCCTTCTGATTCCTAATTATCTGCAAGCAGGATCATGTCGAGGGTTACCTTGAATTGTCAGCAAAGACAAAGATCTACTTTGCTACTGCTGTTGCATTGTGGGATGCAGATTTCTATGTCAAAGTGGACGACGATGTACATGTTAATATAGGTAACTCAAATGGGAAGCAAATCTTCTCAATATATTGAGCTATTTGCTAATTTTGGGTTGATTTTATTCATATGTATGATGTTTTTGATCCAGCAACACTTGGAGAGACTCTAGTTAGGCACAGGAAGAAACCAAGGGTGTACATTGGATGCATGAAATCTGGTCCTGTCCTTAATCAAAAGTAAGTAAAAAACTAAACTTTTGGACAATGCAACCAAATTAGACTTGTAATTTACATAGTCTGAGAAACTAAAGAACTGAGTGTTTTTTCTTTGTTTCTTTCTTCAATAGGGGAGTGAGGTACCATGAGCCTGAGTACTGGAAATTTGGGGAAGCTGGAAACAAGTACTTCAGGCATGCCACCGGGCAGCTCTATGCCATCTCCCATGACTTGGCTTCATACATTTCAGTAAACCAGTAAGCATTCTATCTCTGCATTTGTTCATCATCTAAAGGAACATAGCTCAAAACTAAGCTGACAAGAAACCTTTTTCTGCTTTTCAGGCATGTCCTGCATAAGTTTGCTAATGAGGATGTCTCCTTGGGATCATGGTTCATTGGCCTCGACGTGGATCACATCGATGATCGCAGATTATGCTGTGGCACTCCACCTGGTAAGGGCTCATCAAATTTTGCTAATGAGGATGCCTCCTTGGGATCATTATACACATCCTCACGATCTCCCATTTACCAAAGACCCTCTAAGTAATAGTATATGTACCCTTTCCTTAAGGCTGACAGTTCTCGACTTGTGTTTTTATGGTTCAAGACTGTGAGTGGAAGGCTCAAGCTGGCAACATATGCATTGCCTCGTTCGATTGGACCTGCAGCGGGATCTGCAGGTCAGCTGACAGGATCAAGGAGGTTCATCGGCGTTGTGGGGAAGGTGCGAATGCTGTTTGGACTGCTAAATTCTGACAGAGAAGAGAAGAACAAATCTTTCGAGACTCTGGAAGATGAAAGGGACCAATGTGTGTTTTGAATGTCATGTTCTTGTAACTATGTGAATATAGAGAAGAACATTTCAGAGACCACACCCAATACATAGCCAGGGAGCCTGGCAAAGAGAGAGAGGTAGTAGAGATTAGAAGAATAGCTGGTTTGTGGGAGGTTCCCCATTTTAGCAAGAGGGGAATAGAGAATCAGAAACCAGCAGATAAGTGTTTTCTTGTTGCTAATGGCTAATTGGCAACTATCTGGTTCAACAAAGAATCATTATTTTTTTGATGGCTTGGCTTGTGAGGCCAGAAAGTTGTAAGTTCTCATTGCAAGTGGCTATTCAAGCTAGCAATAATAAGTATGTTGTAATGACCTCATGGTCGCTATTTTTTGGTCGTTTTAGGTTTAGTTTTTGTGCTTCTATTGGTTGCTCTTGCAAGCAAAACGAATTAGATGGGAATGTCAAGTAACAGAAACCAAATCTGGAGGAAGATAGGATGAATTGTGTGCGGAAGAGATCCATTTTCAAAGACTAGATTGATGGTTCCATATCCGAAGAAGATTATTAAGCAATTGGTAAACAAAAGGAAAGAAAATGAAAGACAAGCTAATTTTTGAAACCAAAATCATCCCCTTTCCCACCACAAATAAAATGGTTTCCATATCGAAAGAAATTTATCGAATATTGTTGACACCGAATGTTTTACAATTTTCTTAAAATACGAAAATATCACTTATAATTTTTATTGGTCGGATATTTCTTCATTGGGAATTTTAATTTTAATTTTGAAAGAGTTTATCCTATATAAATTTTTTTGGTTCCGGCATAGAGTTTGTCCCTTATGCGTATACTTATTAATGAAACTGTTTTGTAAAAAAAAAAATTCCTCGTCGTAACTAAATGAGTAGCCTAAAAAAAAAGAGCTCCGTTACTATAAGTATTGGTGCTTTTGTTTACAATTTTTTTTTGTTATAGTTAAACTGAATTTGTATTCTTAACCTTATGATACACATTCAGTTTGTACTATAATTTTTATACAAATTTTATCATGGTACAAAACAACGACGGATTTAGGTGGCCCGCCCCCGGGTCACGGCCCAGCCCTCCCCTGGATCCAGAACTAGTATAACCCTTGTAAATGTTCGAGCTTAGATATTCGTTTCAACGCTTATCGGGTTATAGTCCAGTTTTTTCCGCCTCTTTTCAAATATGATCAGTGGCGGAGCCACATGAGGCCAAGGTGGGTCATTTGCACCACCTTGGCCCAAAAAATATGGAGTAAATTAATTTATATGATTGTTGATAAATAAAAAATTTCTATATGATTGTAGATAATTTTACGTAAAGTAATGTTTTATGATCTCTATTTAACTTTTAGTTTATATATTCGATAAGAGATTTTAGTATATACAAAAACTCGAAAAGTAATGTTATTACTTAGACCTGTTTGTTGCTATCGGTTGTCATTCAAGTATTGAAAGAGTACTTATGCAATTAGCAAAGTAAAGAAATACTTCATAATAAGATGAGTTGTGTAATCATGAACGATTTTCGTTGTGATATCTTAACATCTCTCATAATTTGCTTGATGAATATATTTTAGAAAATTTTCAAAACATGAACACATTCAACAACATACGTTATATATATCTTTTTCATATTTGACCCACCTTAGATAAATTTCTGGCTACGCCACTGAATATGATCCAATACTTTATACTATACGGGATCCGCCACTAGTACAAAATGAACATATACATTAACCTTTTTGCTACAAATTCAATTTGTAGTTATATATTTTCATATGAATTTTTTTAGTACGAGCTTAATTTGTACACTTTATCGGGTAATGTTATTTTTGCGGTCTTCTCCCCAAAACGACTATGAAGCAACGGACGAGGAACGCTGCGGCAAAACTTGGCGTTTACGTCGGCACTTAACCTACGAATATGGCGTGGCGACAAAACTATGTATAACAACAGCACATCATATCCAACGCAAAAAGAGAAGGGGGAATTATCGAAAGGCAAAAATAAACAGCAGCCATTAAGCCAAGGCATAGCTTCCTTCCGTAACTTGCAGGTAGGGTACTTCACTACTTCGCCCTTTTTCCGTCGACGACTTCTTTTCCCTTACTTTCTCTTCACGTCCGTCATCTCAACTACCCTGCTATTGCCTCTCTTTCTCTCTCAATCTCAACTGTTTGCCGATCTGCAGTTTCAGGGTTTGCTTCCGTTATGCCCGATTCACCAACTGTCTCGTTTTACTTTCTCGCTTGGGTAAATTTACCATGTGATTCTTGTTTCAGGTGTTCGCAATGGCAAAGAGCTCTTTCAAGCTGGAACATCCCCTCGGTTTGTCTCTCTTCTTTCTCTACTATCTTGATCTTTGGGTGGGGATTGGGGATGTGGGGGTTTATTGATCAACGCGACGAACCCTAATTTGAGATTGCGTTCCATTTTGGTGATTGATTGTGTGAGAAAGTTGAATTAGATAGCTTTCGTGGTTTTCTTTTCTTCTGTTCTCTCACCTCGTCCAGCAATTAGGATCCAGAGACTGATTCTGCTTGGTCCCTTTGTTTGTCCAAATATTGCTATGGTTCTGTTCTCCTGTTTCCTTGAGGACTTGGGATGCTTGTGTTTAACCGATTTTCTGTTACTGAGAGTCTGCTTGTTGTTCTTGAACATGGGCAGAGAGGAGGCAGGCTGAAGCTGCACGCATCAGGGAAAAGTACCCTGACAGGATCCCGGTATGCAATCTACTGTCCTTTCTTTCTTAATCATGTGCAGTTTCTGATTTCATGGGCGGCTTCAGTAACTGTGGCCCTGTGGGTGTGATTGATTATGCTTATTTCTGTAGGTAATTGTTGAGAGGGCTGAAAAAAGTGATGTCCCTGACATTGACAAGAAAAAGTAAGTCTCTTTGTATACATTTGAATCTATGAACTATGGTTATTGCATCTGCATTTTCAATAAGCTTCTGGTATTCTTATCGGGAAGGATTTGTTCTTGTATTGTTGGAAGGATTTCGCTCTTGTAAAATGTGATTTAGAGCTTATATCTTTCTTCTATGTTCTTTGTTTGGAGGGTTTGAGGCATTTCGGACATAGTTTTGTGATAACTTGTTTGGTCTTCCTGGGTCACTAACGAAACTGTGATGAAGGATTTGCTTGTAAGATGGTGATTCTGTGGTGACTTTTAGTTTTAGCTAGCTAAATTGACATTTAACAATGAAGTGCTGAGGGGATACCAACTGGAGACAAGTACCAAAACTGTGATGAAGGATTTACTTGTAAGATAGCAAGGTTGGGATTTCTGGTAACATTTAGTTTTAGCTAGCAAAGATTGATAGTGAAGTGCCGGAGGGATACCAGCTGGAGACAAGTACCAAGTGCTCATATTCTCGGGATACTGATGACGAGATGTAATGCATATTATATTCAACTAGTTAATATGCTATGATATGCTTCTAGTAGGTGTCATTAGCCTTTGTTGTTATCTCGTCTTCCATGCACTAACATTGTCACTTGGTTTGACCACTGTAGATACCTGGTTCCTGCTGATCTGACTGTTGGACAGTTTGTTTATGTGGTCCGGAAGAGGATCAAGCTGAGTCCCGAGAAGGCCATTTTCATTTTTGTGAAGAATATTCTACCGCCAACTGGTGAGATAAATGTTTGCTGTATTTTTTTGGGCTCAAAATCTGTTCCTTGTATTAATATCACTGTTGCAGATTACTGACTCTGGAGCTTGTTTACAGCTGCCATGATGTCTGCAATCTACGAGGAGAACAAGGATGAAGATGGCTTCCTTTACATGACCTATAGTGGCGAGAACACATTCGGGATCCTCTAATGCTTGAAGAACTATGAAGCACCAAGTGAATAAAGACTCTGGTAGAACCTATAAGTGAAGAAAAGTTGCTTTAAGCTAGAATTGCTGACTGAAGAATCTATAGACCCCTTGTACATTCTTGACCTATCTCCCTCTCTGTGGAATGGTATCTCTGACTCTTATCTTGTAAACTTGGACCCCTCTGACATCTATGTCGATTCTGCCACTTTAGTTGTTCTACTCTAATTGTTCACTCAGATTCTGTCAAAGAATTTACATCCTTCTACCAAGGGGCAACTATTTGGTCCAAACTGGGTTGAATTGGACCGACAAATCGATTGAATCTGACTGTATTGAATATATAATTTGATTCGGTCATTTTCTGCCAAGTTCTGCGGCCAACACAGATTTTGTCTACTAACAATAGTTCAAAAGATATACCCAACCAATATGACAAGAGTTCACTGCTGCATTGCTGTATGGTTTAACAAATAGTGCTTTTAAAATAGCAAATACAGCAACATTGTTTATATCTTTATTCCAGCAATAATCATAAACAAGGGGCGAAAACATTCTGAAACTATATCTTGTAACATCATTACAAGGCACATTTCCTTCACGAGTTTTGATTTCTTATTCTAAGAGGAAGAGAACTTCTTGCTGTACTGTTTCTTGACCCATTTGATCCCTACCGAAGTCCCACTCTTCATCTTAGAAGCCCCAACAGAAGCTGCTGACTTAGCCTTGTCCAGTCCAGCTGATGCTGCTGCTTTGACATCTGCCATCTTCCCATTGCCATTTCCTTTCTTGCTCGACGATAGCCCTTCTTCATCTCTATCTTCCATGCCATAGCTCCCCCATTGATCCGCCCAGTTCGGTGCTTGTTTGCTTCCCATGGCGCTTCTCGTCTATTCGATTCCCCTGCCTGCCCCTTTCTCTGTAAGGCATTATAATAGATTTCGGTGAACTGTGATACTCAGATTCGATTAACATGAATGGAACTTGGCGTGAAGAAGTTGTGGAAGCAAATGCTGAAGTTAGCAGACAAATTAGAACTCTACCCTTTTCAATTCACATGAATCTCTACCAAACCCAGATTTCGAATCGGGGAGAAAGAGTAGGCTAATTGCAGTAAAATCCAAATGCGTGCATACAACAGCAAAACTGGCTTTTCAGTTTTGGTGAAACGTCGCCCTCACTCAACTGTCAATTGCTAAAGATTGAGCGAGGGCAAATAGAAGATCAACAATACCAAATCTCGTGTGCTCATCTGATCAAGGAATGAGGTTTTGCTATGACAGGGCGCATACGATTGAGGTTGCCCGATGATGATTATTCCCAATGAAGAACTGAAATTAAGAAGCAAAGAGCCAAGGGGATTGAGTATTTACCTTTCAGGAGCACTGTTCCCCAATTGCGAATCGACTAATGAGAAAATTCTTTCTTTAAGGGCTTTTGCTTTCGCTTTGCTTTCTTCTCTGTCTACTTCTTCTTCTTTGCTGGTTTCTTCGATTTCGCAAAGTGCGTTTGGGGTTTGGGGTTTTAATTTTCTTTACAGTCATTACGTTTTATACTCGAAAGGAAAAAGGGCGGATTTGTTACGTTTTGCTAGATATGGAAGGATATTTACTCCCGCTTCCCATCATCTACAGGCTTTCCCTTTTTTCGCGAAACAACTTTTTTTTTTCCATGTGAAGTTAAGAGGTCCAGGTTAGGTGCATTGCATTAATACATACTCAGATTGGCCCATTGAATTTAAATGTGTTCAAATTAAAATACTTTTTATTTTTCTTACTTCTTATTTGGCTTATATCGTTTTTGTTTAACCAATGAGGCAAGAATTGTGAAACCGTATCGAGGTTACACCGAAAAACTCAATGATAGGCATTTGCCAAGGCAGGTCCTTTGGCCTTGCCAATGGACAATGGTATGTGTCAGAGAAAAAATCCAAATGTATTTATATTTTATATTGATGATGGAACACAACATCTACGAGTGATATGAGAGTACTTTCTCACAACTTATTACTTGTTCATAAATTGAAATAAAATTAATTTATTATATACTATATCATGAACGGTTAGTGCTACAAGATACTTATACACCATGTGAAATTTTGGGTGACTTCAATGCAATCTCTAAGTTGAATGGAGCTTCTAATGCTACAATGATTAATCAAACTATGCAAGCTTTCACGGTTTGGATTGGAGTTATGTAGTTAATCGATCATAAGGTTGGGGTTCATGGTTTACCTAGTGGAACAAGCATCAAAATAACCCTATTGTCAAAAGAATTGATAGATTGTTTGTAAATAAGGCCTGATTGTGAGTGTTTAAAGTGAGTTTCGGTTTTACCATTGCACCAAGAGCGGTGACTAATCATTGTGGGATGTAGTTAGATACTTCCCCACCATTGAAGTCATTACTTAAACCGTTTACATACTTCAGGTTCTCGAAGCACAATCCATCATATCTACCTATCATTACTGAAGCACGGTTCACTGAGATTACTGGATGTACTCATTATATATATACTACTAGGTGGCGATGCCGCGCCTTGTCGTGGGGCGGAGATGGCCTATGGGCATGTATTATGTGGCCCATTATGGTGTTTTGTTGGTATTGTTAGTCTAAATTAATTTTCGTTAGCGATGTTGTTAGTAATATTGACTGAGAAGAGATACATGGCGGTCAATATCCAATTATTTTTTAAAATTTTTTGGATAGTAAATGATATTTAGCTAAACCCAAGTAGACCCATTGATTATAGCTATGGTATGAGTAACGTATATATGAGTTTGAAAGTTTGTAGATGGAAGTTTATATTCCTTTTGTTTCTCTCTAGAGTATTTCTTTTTCATCCGGGCTAGAATTTTCAACAAATATACATGGAATGTTTAGCTAGATATCTACACATATCAAATCCCATAGTGGAAAATGACGACTTTCCAATAAGTAATAATCATATATATTTATTTTTAATTGGACTCGACATTGAGTTAAAAAAAGTTAGTGGTTCATAGTTCAATTATTAGTTTTCTAGACTGTTGGTGAGTCATGTATGGACCCGTTCATACTTGTGATTATAAATACATAAAGATAGTATACTAATTAGGGTTAGACGAAGAAGGCAAAGAAAGAAATAAAGAAAGGGTTATGGAAGGTGAGTAAAAAATGAAACGAAAAGGAATTAGATTATAGAAAGGTTTTGACCAATTCTTTTAGTTAGTCGTCAATACAACAGTCAACCCTTTTCACCGTAGCAATTTATCGACACTCGCTTATGTAGATGTCGCATATTTTATTATATGTAATAAGTAGAAGTTTGTTTAGTACCCCGTAAATGTACTTAATGAGTTTATAAATTCGCTCTTGCAATATTTTAAAGTTGTATCTCTTTTATCATTTATTTAATGTTTCACATAATGAGCAAATATAAAATGTTCGAATCTTCTCCTACAGTTGAGTGATACAATATCTTGTATTGTACAAACGAAATTTATAATTTTATGTTATGGTGGATTAGATTCATGAATTGGCTCGAGAGGATTGGTGGATTGGATTCATGGACTCAAGTGAAATATAAACATTAGACAAATATGTAAATTTGAAAAGATTGTAGGTATGAAAATCTCATAAAATTAGATACCAAAACATAATTGCTCAATGATTTTATATTAAAATTAAATTTGGGGTATCAAAATATAAAATGTATATTATAGTAACTAAGTTGTGATTTAATTAAATTTGAGGTATCAAAATGTAAATTATTTGGCAACAGTAACCTAACTTTCACTTTATATATATACTAGGTGGCAATGCCGCGTCTTGACGCGGGTGGAGATGGGTTATGGCCTGTTATTGTGTTTTGTTAGTATTATTAGTCTAAAATTATTTTTTTGTAAGCAGTTTTGTTAATAATATTGACTTGACAAAATGATATTGACTGAGAAGAGATATATGACGGTCAACATCCAATTTAAAATTTTTGAAAACTTTGGCCAGTAAATGATATTTACCTAAACCCAAGTAGACTCATTGATTATGGGTAGGTATGTGTGGCGTATATATGAGTTTGGAAGTTTGTAGATTAGTTTGGGTAAGGTATGAATATTTACTTTCATAATCTAAATGTGTATAAGATTGGTATGGATACCCATTTATTCGAGGGTGTTTTAATGACACATACAAAAATTAGACCTATTTGTAGAACTTCAAAATTTTATGTACCAAAATTCAATACACAAAATTTTAGGTACTAAAATGTAATGTTCCATCAACATTTTGAGAAATTATGTGCCAAAAAGAAAATTTAGCTTATAAATTTAAAAATCTATTAAGTTTAGGTACATAACTTTAATTTGCATAGTTGATGCTAATTCCTTTTATGGTGATGTTTAAGATCATAATTGTTTACTATTTTATAGAAAAATGGAAACTATTTATTTGATGTGTGTAGATACCTAGCCAAACATTTTATGTATAATTGTTTAAAATTTAGCTAGGGTGGAAAAGGCAAACTCTAGAGAGAAGCAAAAGGAATACAAATTGGAACTCGCTTAAATTTCACGCCTTCAAATCTCATAGTGGAAATTGGCGAATTTCTAATAAGTAATACCCATATATATTTATTTTTAATTCGACTCGACATTGAGCTGAAAAGGTTAGTAGTTCATGGTTCAGTTATTATTTCTATAGACTGTTGGTGAGTCGTGTATGGACCCGTTCATACTTGTGATTAGAATACATAAAAATAGTATACTAATTAGGGTTTGACGAAGAATGCAAAGAAAGAAAGAAAGAAATAGGGTTATGGAAGGCGAGTGAAAAATGAAACGAAAAGGAAGTAGATGATGGTTTGCTGTTGCAGCACTGGTTTCCTTTTGCTGCTGTGTTTTTTTTTTCCTTTCTGTTTTTGGGTGCTGTCTTTGCCCTTTTGCTGCCAGGGACATCCTTTCCCCTCTTGTAAGGACTCTCCTTTTCTTTAATTTATTTCACCATTATAAAAAAAGAGAGTAGATGATGGAAAGGTTTTTACCAATTTTTTTAATTGGTCGTCAATACAACAGTCAACCCTTTTCACCGTAGCAATTTATTGACACTTGCTTATGTAGATGTCGCATATTTTCACCGTAGTTAGTATAAGTTTGTTTAGGACCCCGTAAATGTACTAAATAAGTTTATAAATTTGCGCTTGTGATATTTTAAAGTCATGTCTCTTTAATCATTTATTTAATGTTTCACGTAATGAACCAATATAAAATGGTCGAATCTTCTCCTACAGTTGAGTGATACAAAACTAAATTTGTACTTTTATTTTATGGTGGATTGGATTCATGGATTGGTTCAAAAGGATTAGTGGATTGGATTTATG